TAGAATACTTTCATAAGTAATCTGTAATTATAAGGGTTTTTTTATATTTCCCCTTAGAATACTTTCATAAGTAATCTGTAAGTAAACTTTTTCTTACTAGATAAATGGGTTTTTATTTTTCTAATTAAATATTGTAGTTTAAACCAAAGTAGTAAATAATTATTACATGTGCCAGGAAGTTATACTCTTAAATCTGTCTTTCAGTCCCTACATGACAAGTTTGAAAACTATTACAGAATTTAGTTACTTCTCTTCAGACAAGCTGATTTCATTGTTGGGTGGTCTTGTTTCTAATAGTGTCTGACACTGAGACATTAATGAAATCTGATGGCTTACCCCCTCCAGGGAAAGGGAAGAATTTTGATGAAACCTATGAAAAGATCATAGTTATTCCTTACATTCCTTTTGAGTGTAAAATAGCTTGAGCGAGTGAACTATTACCACTAGCTTTTCCTAAAAGTAAATAAAAATCATGTTCTATCCTGTTCAAAATCACTGCAGTGAGTTGTGTGTGAGAGATGTTGGATAGCAGGAGACTTAGGATTGAGTGTTGACATGTTAATAAAATACATGAAAAGGATATTAAAAACAAGGAAAACTTGCCCTCATTTTTGCATGAGTGGTACTTCATGCATTTTTGCCTGAGTTCATATATGTGCTTAAAACTTTAATTTTTTTTTATGTTCCATCACACGAAATACTTATAAATCAAATAGAGGGAGAGAGATCTGTTTGCTGCATAGGTACTTTTAGATTATAACATTTTCAATTGCTTGAAGACTTGTTTTCATGTCACTTGAGTCATTCTGCTTTCTAGCAATTCTTTTTTCAATGTTGTAGGTATTTTGAAGCCATGCAGCTGAACTTTCGACAGCGCCTGCATGTTGAACAGATATTTGACTTGGAGAATGGAGAGTACCTTTGTCCGCTTTGCAAGTCTCTGTGCAATACTGTGATCCCTGTTGTTCCATTACAAGCGCAAAAAATAAACAGGTGAACTACCAGGATTGCTTAGCCTTAAACTATGGGGACTTCAAAGAGAGTGGTTGGCTTTTTGGACTTTTTAAAGGAAATTCTGAGCTGACTTTCCTAACTTGAATAAAGGACTGTTTATATCCTTGTTGACTGCTCACACAAATGCATTTATTTTGGTCACCAAAGTACTTTCTCCTATGACATATGCTCCAAAAGATAGTCTTCAAATGCATTACAGAAAAAATACTTTGAGTTCTTAGTATAAGATTTCACTTTGTACTTTTCACACAAAACTTAAAGCCAGCAAAAGTATGCCAATACTGAGTTTTAATAAATGTTGTCCTGTATTTTTAACATAAGGTGGTGCTTTTGCTCTTGAAGTAACAACTACTTTTCATTTCTGTTCCCAGTGAGGATGCAGAGGCAGTATCACAAATTCTGTCCCTGGCTAGGTGGCTGGAGATTGTTACAGCTAGAATATCTGGCTACAGTGTGAAAAATGCTAAAGGTTTGTCCGCTTTGTTATGGAGTTTTTCTGTGTCATCTCTGATGTATTTTTTAACTAATATCAACAGAAAATTTCAAATCAAGTGTGTAATTTGTGCTCTATCAAGACCGTCAGGAAAATGTGGTGCCAGTTTTCAGGGATAGTCATGGCCTTTTCTGAGGTAATATCTTAATTTCATGGCACCCTCTCTTATTTTCAAGCCTCTGGCCACTTCTCTGTGGAAGAGAACTATGTACAGTGGGAGAACATGTCAGCCAACTAACACAGAGTTAATAAGACTTCTGTGTTGACTGTTATGAGGTAAAGAAGGGGGAGATCGAAAGAACCAAAATAAATATATATGAGTATTTTAGAAAACATAACTAAGCACCCTTACTGAAAATCATCAAGCACAGATTTATTTATTTATTTTTGCTTATGCCATATATTCCTCACCAGCCAAGCACTACTTTTAATCTTCATGTTTCTGACAATAGAAGAAAATGTGACTTGGGGAGGAACAGTCTAGCTGGTGAAGTCTGTTTTACAAATATTTACGAATCAGCTTAAAGTCTTTTTTCTGCTACACTGTTGTGAAAAGTATAACAACTTCTTTGTGTTAATGTCATTCTGATTCCTTTGTCTGGAAGGAGAGAAACAAAATGCTCCGGCTTTCATCAACAAAGGAATGGGGAACTCTGCTCTGGAATTCCATTCCATCCTTAGTTTTGGAGTTCAGTCCTCGTAAGTGTTACCAGAAAGACTGTCTTTGATTATGTTAACTTTTCCCTGAAATAATTTGCTCTGATCCAGTGTGGCAATTCTTCTGTTTGTGATGCAAAACTGGGAGACTAGAGTCTTCCAATCTGTCATTCTGTTTTTTTTCAGATCATTTTGTGTGCTATTGGATGCATTCCATTCCAGTCATTAACTTCCATTGTCTTAATTTTCTTACTATATGTAGGTTCAGAAATAGTTTTCGCTTGTTTTTAGATGCATTTTTTTAACATAGATTGCTCAGAGGAATAGGGCTATATTGTCTTTTCAAGTAAGCAGAAACTCTCTGCTGTAACGATAGAATAAATGCGTATATAGATCTGAAGTGTACTATTTTCTTCATCGTATGTCCTGCTCTAAGTACTTAATCTGTTATTGCTACTATTGCTTCTGACTGTTATAGATACACAAAGTATTTATACTTGGTGCTGTTGTAAAAGAAAGTATCAAAAAGTTGAATTAAGTTCTGTCTTGATAACTTGTATTACAGTTGTTCTGGTTGCAGAGATACGGAGGATGAATATGAATGTCATGAATCTCTGTTACCAAATTGCCAATGTATGATTTAAAAAAAGAGAAAGAAAAACAAGTCATTAAATAATGCTGTATGTGTCTTCGACTAGGCACTTTTACAGTTAAAGGTGCATTTATATAAATTAACTTAATACCAGCTTAAAGGAGCTAAAATGCCATTTAAATGTGTTTTTGAAACGCTTTTGAAATTCCCTACTTCGCATTTTTGGTGTCTGATGAGATGGGAGAGAAGAAACATGTTTTCCCTGCAGCATTTAGAAATACTCTTCCTAATTCACAGCACTAGATTCCCCCCACATTGTGCTTTGATTTCAACTCTAGGTATTCTTTTTTTTGAATTTGGAATATAATGTACAGTCTAGAAGTAAACTCCTTCATTCTTTCAATTTGGTTCCAGCCTGGTGGCTCTCATTCTCTGCATTCTGCAATATAGTAATATAGCAGTAAACAATATAGTAATAACAATAAACACTATTAATGATTCACAAGCTGAAATTATCTTGGCTTACTTCTGCAGAGCAAAGTACTCGAGTAGTATCAAGGAGATGCTTGTTCTTTTTGCCACCACTATCTATAGAGTTGGACTAAAAGTTGCTCCAAATGAAGATGATTACCGGATTCCTATGATGACTTGGAGCACATGTGCTTTTACCATCCAGTGCATAGGTAAAACCTAATTTTGGTTTACTCGTGGCTCAAAACTTAAATTTTTACATAAGCAATAATCAAACGTATTCTAATAGTGAATAGTGCTATCAAATATATGTAAAATACAGTATATAATAATGTTGTTATACATACTGCTCTGCAAATAAGTTTATAAAAAACGTGATCAATGTTTGGAATGCCAATGCGGAGTATAATATACAAAATGAAGGTGTGATCATCAAGTTAATTGTTCTTCGTTTAATTTTAAGAAAACATCTTGGAAACGGAGGGCAAGCCGTTATTTGGATCTCTGCAAAATAGACAGGTATGGGCAATCATCTCTGCAATACTTTAAATATGTGTATATATACTTTATACATGTAAATATATGTGTGTGTAGATATATGTTTGCACACAGACACCGTTGAAACTGCTGGCATTAAGAGTATCTTATCTTCAGGAAAATCTTTGAAAATATTTAGATTGATAACACAGAACACTCAGGAAAGTAAGTGTATGCTTATACACAGAGTTTCTTTTAATTCATTTATCTATGTGTATCCTACTCTTAGGAGATGTGGGTATATACTGACAGGTTTATTTCACTGTTATTTCTTTCCCTTTTTTTCTGTCCAATCATCTTCTCTTGCGCTCTAGCACAGTGGCCTTAAAGCATTAGTGCAGTTTGCAGCTGCTCAGAGAACAACATCACCCCAGGTCCTGATTCAGAAACATCTGGTTCGTCTTCTGGGAGGTATCGTATTCTTTTTCTTTATTTTCTTTCACATGGCAGAAGTTACTGCAAACTAGTGCTCGCTGTTAATACTGCAAAGAAGGAAAGGTAGGCTGCTGACAACAGCAGCCTGCAATTTCTGTGGCTTCAGGTCAGTTCCCTTGCATCCTAGAGTGTAGTTTGAGCTCAAGTCACTAGGGCTAGGTCAACAGAAGTACTTTATCCACAAAGTGCCCCAAAATCTTTTCCTAGATTGCCTAGGCATGGACCCACTCAAATCGGGAATGCTTCCACATGGCTAAAGATCTATTTCTGACAGTGTTTAGAATTGCTCAGATTCTGAGTGCTGAAGAGGTAGATGCTTAAGCTGTGCTAAGGGCACAGCTGGACATTCTTCCCTTTTCTTAATTGTGAGAATTTCATCTTTTTGATCTTTTCAAAAATATCTTGCAATCAAACTAAAGATATGTGGGTCTGAGAAAAGGTTTGACACCTAGTCATGTTTGTCCATGTGTCCACTGCTTACCTGGTGGTGGCTCGTGGTGGCCTTTGTAAATCTCATTCTGTGACTCTGTGTTAGAATTCGGAGGCAGACAGCAGAGCATCTCATCTTGCAGCAGCTAAGGACATTTGTGGAGCTTACGTTGTGGTTTATATTATAGCTAGAGAAATAAATCAGAAGTCTTCATCTCAGAGTTTGTGAAGATGTAGTCATTAAAATTGTGAGCTCTTAGAGCACATGCAAATAGCTTAATTGGTGCACTATCAAACCAGCAGTTAATTAAATAGCTAGATATTTATTCATTTCAGAGTGTTTAGATGCTTTGGGTGAAGAAACAGAAGTGATAGAGGCTTTACCATCAGACTGACATTACACTTAAATCTGAAAGAAGAAAATGTATAACTAATACTTGTTTATTGTATTGTCTAATGTTTATTTTGTAGTTCTTCTACCAAACTTTAAAGTTGAAGACACTCCTTCCCTTTTAGAAGTAGATATATTCCACGTTTTGGTAAGCAGATTCATTTTATTTTTAGTTTTAGTACTCCTTTTTAATAGCATGTATTTTAATGTAGATTCTCCTGTAGACAATCTGGAAATATCTGTTCACTTATATGAACCAAATGATAAAGCTGAGCTCCTACTAGGTAGCAGCATTTACTTCTACTTCTGCTGTTTGTCAAGCTTGCAAGACTTGGCTTTTTCACTCTTACTAAATTTCATGCATCCCAGTCATATTTTATGATCTCCAATGCTATCAAACCTCTAAAGAGCACTGAGAAATACCCTCACTCAATACAAGATTACCTTGACTTTTGTACCTTCAGACTTCCTCATGTTCACTCTTATCTCCTTTTCTCCTCCTGTTTATCACTACTTTCTGTTCTTTAAGAACAGGATTTACTAGTTCTACCTTTTAAAGAAAACACCTCCTGGTTTGTCCTAGTTGACTTTCTAATTACAGCTCAGTCTGCCTTCTTGCTTTCATTCAGTGGGCTGTTATCCTCTTATGTAGCAAAGTTTTCTGGGAAGCAGACCATTGTACTAGTATGTAGAATGAAATACATAATAATATCTAGGGTTCCTATATGGTAGTGGGGTACACATAATTAATACTGTGTAAGTTAAAATGAGAAGGATAAGTGAAATTGATTGGAGAAATTAAATTTAAATGTGTAGTGAGAAAATAAGTCAGTGATTAATATCCATCTAACTGGTGCTGAATTTTTAGTACTTCAATATTTACTCTTTGCCTGTAGGTGGGAGTTGTGTTATCATTTCCATCTTTATACTGGGAAGATGCTGTAGACTTGCAACCTTCATCAATTAGTTCAGCTTATAACCAGCTCTACCTCTTCCATCTGACTACGCTGGCACACATAACCCAAATAGTTCTCTCCTCAGCAACAGGTAGGGGTATGTTTGGTTTGGATTATTCTGACATTTTTACTCAGTTTCTAAACCCAGTAGATGCATGTTTTTAGTAGAAGATGATAGGAACTTCTTCATAATAAATGACACTTAGTTTTAGGTAGAAGCAACTGTTTTCTGATAAATAAATAAATGAGCACTACATTTTCATAGGCTTTTATTATATCATTTCTTGTGTTGGACTAAGAAAGCAAAGTAGTTAGAGATGTATCAGTATTTGATCAAGTCAGTCATTGCACATCAGTAGCTTTCTACACTCTTCACTCCTTACAGAAGCAAGGAAGCAAAGAACTGCCCAGTGGCAGCACTCAGAGCTGCACACTGAGTTAGGAGTGATTTGAAAAATGTGTCTTGTTTATCCTTGAACCTCCTAGAGCTGAAACATGGGATTCCTTAAACAGATAAGGAAAAATTTATTCTTCTCTGTATTTTATATTGCCGCCTGTCAAATCTGACAGCAACTTACAGACCTCCCAGGCACTAGTTTCCTCTTTCTTAATAATAACAGAAAAAAGAAATGAATTTCCCTAGCTGTCCTTATAGGACAGTAACATGATGTGAGGATGAGCAGTGAAGCAATAATCATGGTGATTCTTTTGTTAGGTTAGAAAAATAATTCAGCAAAATGAAGTGGAAGCTCTTGTGTAACTCAGCTTAAAGAAAAGAGAACAGTGTCTCTGAAAAGAGGTGCTTCACAGTGCAGTCCTTTTACACTCTGGGGTTCATGTTTTGTGTGCACAGAATCCGCTGCTGCTCAGTGCCATGATAACAGCGAGGAGGCCCGCGCTGCGCAGTCTTTCTGCAAGGAAGTTTGCCAGTACACTAGTGGGTGAGTAGTGGTTCAGTTACAGCATTGGCTTTTCCTAGAAATACCACAATCCCCTGGGATTGGCCTGAAGAGCAGAAAAAATGAATGCTTTTTAGGTTAATAAAATGCTTTTTAGGGTGGGCTTTTTTATTTTATTTTTTTTTCTAAGTTATTACTATAATGATGGGGAAAAAATACCTATGCCAATTCTGGAGAGGAATGCAGCTACATCAGTAAGATAGAGAAGTGTTGGGAAGTTACTTCATTTTGCCTTGATTTGTTTTTCAAGATCCCTCAGTTTTAGGTGGAAGCCAAAAAGAAGAAAATGATTCTACTAGAAAGGACTAAACTGAAAAGCAACAGTTCTTTGAGCATTATTGCCCTTTTCAGATTTTGTGGTAGGTTTAGCTACAGGCCTTTCAGTACTTCCCTATCTGCTTGGGGTGCCTTTTGAAGGAAAAATCAGCTAGATAATATGGCTATGTTCTCGTATGTTCTCGTAGATTCTGTGTTAGTCACAAAGAGACGTTTTTGAGGATTGACAACAATGTCCACATGTCTAAAAGTTCCATAACTAAATATCTAAATGTTTAAAGCTTGGCATTTAAATAATAAGAGTGTATTTAGTAGCATAATAATAATAAAGTAGCTTAAAGAGCACATACCTAAATGTGAAGTGTAACCATGTTTAAAATTTTTAGAGAAGCTAAATGTAAAAGCTCAAGCTATGAGCTTTTAGTTAAAGGCTCATAGCGTGCACACACACTGCAAGAACTACTGAAGTAATTGTTGGTTTTCTCTAATAAGAAAAAAAAACTTATTGTAGTTGTGATGTCGTGTGGTATGGTCAAAATTGGGCTATTTTGACTCGCCTGAAGATGGGTTTCTATTAATTTTTTTTACAATTCTGAAAAATATTTCTTGAGACAACGTGAAGTTTTAATGCAAGTGCTTGAAGTGAGCTCAATATCATTTCCCTAAGGAAAGGCGTGATCAGGAATTAGATGCTAGTAGTTGTTTCACAAAGTTGGGGATATATCAGTGTTACTCTCACACAGTTACTGTTCAACCAATGCTAGCCAGAATGTAAAAGTACCAGAAGGATTTGTGCTGTGAACTGCTTCAGATGTTTCTTATCTGTGTATTACAGTTGCTTTAGCCAGGATATTCCAGGCTGGCTTGTGTGGGATTGTGTTAAAAAAGGCATCATGCCTTACCTTCGTTGTGCTGCTTTATTTTTTCATTATTTGCTGGGAGTGTCTCCACCTGAGGAGCTACTACAAGGTAAATATGAGAAGGTGACAGTATCTATATTTTGAAATTACTGTTTTCTTGTGAAGAAGGGAGTGTTTAAATGTTTGCAATAACTTAACATTGATTAATACATTAAAGACAGACTTTGGAAACAAAGGAAGAAATAATTTGTGTAAGAATGGGTAGGAATGGTTGGGTTGTACACACACACGCGCGCGCACACACACGCACAAACAAACTTAAACCCTCTTATGAAGGATCCTAGTAAAAACACAATATAAAGTGAAACTTAAACCACCTTGGGAAGGATCCTAATAAAAACAAAATCAGTACTCTTTCCTGCAAAAAGGCACAGAATCATCAACTGTTTGAAGAAAATGACCAAGATTGCTACAAAAAAGAGACAAAATATAGTATTTTAAACTTATTAGTTTGAGCCAAGTTTGGATTTGATTAGCATGTACAAGTCAATATCCCCGTGCTTTGTACTATGTCGTTGTGCTTAACATGAGCCTGGAGCTCTGATTCCACAGGAAAGTGCCTCCCTGGTGAATCAGCACTGCAGTTTTCTGCAGTTCCTACAAGTTCCTACAACCTAGCCCAACTTTATGTAATGTATTAACTCTGACTTGATTTTACTAAAATCAAGTATCATAGCTGGCTAAAAGTGCAGTAAAAACCTAGGATGTGATAAGTAGGGGAAGAGAATTTGCTGCACTAGTGAATGTGCTGCGTCTTATGCAGTAAAATTGAATTTAAGTAAAGAATTCTGTTTTACAAGGATTTATGAATGACTTTTAAATTACTTAGTAGTATACTATTTTAACTGTTAAACCTAAAGTAGATTCTCAGCTAATGCAAATTGTAATAACTATGATTAAGCCAATAGTTATTTCCAGCTGC